GAGTGAGAGAGAGACTGACCCCTGTTTCCTATAGTCTGCCTGAGCATGTGTGTGTGTGTGTGCGCGCGTGTGAGAGAGATACATTATTATAATCTGAGTTATTTCATTATATTATTTTCTCATTTATCAGCTCTTCTCTGATTTTCCACAGAAATGGCCTGCTCTATTTATACAAGTATGCTATGGAACTCCACCCGATACGAACACATATGGTCCATAGCTGACCCCGGGCGATCGAGTTCAAACATGACTCATGTCTCAACCATGGAGATCGTGGGCTAATTATGGTGTGACACGATATATTACAAAACCCATCCGCTGAACATTAAAGGACAATATCCTACTTCATGATGGAGGTCACAGGTTAAGTATGTCACTCCCGGATATATGCTACAAACAGATGGCATTTGAACATCTGCCGAACATTAAAGGACAATATCCTAGTTCATGATAGAGGTCACAGGTTAATTATGTCACTCCCGGATATATGCTACAAACAGATGGCATTTGAACATCCGCCGAACATTAAAGGACAATATCCTACTTCATTGATGAGGTCACAGGTTAATCACGGTCATTAAAAAGGTCATAAGGTTAACCCCTAAGGGGGAGGGTCAAATGTCAAAGTCATCAATCAAAAAAAATGACATAACGTGGATCATAATAACTACTGTCGTTAAAGACACCTAATATGAAGTGGGATTGATGATGATGATTGTACTATATTATTAGTAGTACCATTAGTATTAAGCTAGTAGTAAAAGCATAATCTGAGTGCTAACTAATGTGTTTAAAGGATGGATACTACCTGCAAGTGAGTAAAAAAAAAAAAACACATACATACATGTAGATGACAACCTAACTCATAATATGCATATAATAAAAGCACTATTTAAATTAATATAAAGTATAAATTAAATTGTAAGCACATTTTTGCAATCCAAATTCAATTCAATTTGATCAAATTATTGAACTTTGAAGTGTGACATCTTCCTTCAGGTCCAGTTGACCATGATGTGTGTGGGTCTACTGAGCTGCAAGCTGGTCATCTGGACATCAACTGAGCACCTAGAAATGGACATTCCATTTGACAAAAAATGTACAATGTAAATAAGTTTCATCAGTTTATTCTTAAGCAACATGAGGATTAAATACATGAAAGAATCCTGTAAATACAGAGTTCTGGCATGAAACTCTAAATGGCGCAGTCCGATAGGTCTAACTCAATCTGACCTAATGACATCATCACATGTCACAGCTGATTGTTTTTCTGACGCCTTTATTTTCTAATATATATTTCTGAAATTCCAACAAGGATTTCAACATCATATATGAATAAAAAACAAAAACCTTGCGTTTACTTGTTTAAATTCAAACAACAGACTGACTAAACCTGATTGGTTCCAGAGCCATTGAACGGCTCTGATTGGTTCGTATGATAATGAGCTCACCCCAGAGAGAGCTTCCTATATAAAATATGATGTGCGTGCAAATGTCTCTTGAATGTGAATATAAGTCTAAATGTAAACAGTATTATATAGAGCGGTCGCCGATCGCTGGAGGATGGAGGAAACCACGCAATTCATATGGATTACTTTGGCGATGTTTTTTTGCGATTTCAACTTTTTGAAACGTGAACATCTGAACGAAAGTGGTTTGGAGCATCTTAAGGGTGAGTGATGACAGAATTCAAATTGTTTTGGGGGAACTATGAACTATGAAAGAAAATATAGCGGTATGTTCTTATTTTTACCAGCTTCTGCAAGCGTGTATGGCGTCTGGCTTTTGGAACCTCGCTGTGACTTCAGGTAAGATTTAATTAACGTTATTTGTCTGTGCCAGTCCTGTTTTTGACACATGCATTGGCAGAAAAAAATAAATAAAATAAAATTAGTCATTATAACATGTACAACATTAACATTCTTTTATTTGCAAAATGAAGTTGTGTGTTTAGTGTATTTATATTTCCTGAACAAGTTGGCTTCATTGTAATGACGTTAATGATCTTTGAAAAACCATGATTACCATGATTAAATTACTTTGTCTTGAGCTGATTATGCAACTGTGGTAGTGTTCCTTGATTGGTGTTTATATTTGTTCAAGCTTGACAACCTTATCGCCTTTATTTTCTAATATATATTTCTCATTACAGATAAGAACAAAGATTAAATTGTAAGAAGGGTTGCTTATATGAGAGCATACA